TGCCAGCACAACTATGTTTATCGCAGCATTATTTACCATAGCTAAGATATGGAACCAACCCCTCAGTAGATGAATGGATCAAAAAAATATAATACACACACACACACACACACACACACACACACACACACACACACACACACACACACACTGGAATATTATGCCTCCATCAGAAAGAATGAGACCAGCTACTTTGTTAGGAAATGGAAAGACTTGGAAAAAATTGTATTAAGTGAAGTAAACCAGTCCAAACAAACATAGATTCCATGGTTTCCCTTATTTTCAATAAATAGTATATATCTAGGGTGAGCAGAAAAGGTCAAAAGCTATGTAAATATGACCATATAACCTGATGCTAAGTGAAATGAACCCCAAGATATGGATACTATATTTCTTGCTGTTTTTTAATGTATTTATAATACAGTATGTGATTTTTTGTGTTTCTTTTATATTTTCTTTCCCCATTGTATAGCCCTGTTTCCCCATATTTAATTCCAGTGCCTGCATCTTCTTTATAATTTTTTTCTAATTTGGGGAAGGGAAATAACAAAAAGCTGAAATAAGAATACAGGTTGACCCTCTGTAACAATGAGATGTACAAGACACCATGTTGAAAACAAACTTTTCAAATTGATGTGGGGGGTTGGGAGAGCAGGGTGGGAAGGATGCTAGTGGAAGCAGGGTAGGAAGGGATGTTAGGGGACAAACAAAGGAGGAGGTAACAATGCTCGATAGGAAATGTACTCATTAAGTTAGTCATGTAACTGTAACCCGTGAGTACACTACCTTTACAATAAAAATATATACTAAAATAGATGTGAACCAATAATTTATAAAGTAATATAATTTATTTGTTCATAGAGGTCTGTGTCCTTGTGTTTGTGTATGTATTTGTAATGTTTGGGGGCAAAATATTTATTTCATTTTGTCCATGACAACATATATGCAATTGAAATATAGTTGTAATGGTCATGTCCTTTTCTTACATCGGTTATTTTGTGTTACAAATATTTACCTCATTATGTTTAATAGTAACAAGGTTCATAACTATTTATTTGTGGCTGGACATGGTAACTCATGCCTGTAATCCCAACTAAACTGGAGACAGAGATTTTAAGTTAGTGAGTAAAACCCTGGAAGGCAGTGAGATCTATCTCAAAAGCACACTGAGGCAGGTGGTGCAAATTTCTGTAGCTATGCAGGACATGAATTTAGAAGGATTTTAACAGAAGGCCAAGCTGGGTAAAATCACAAGATGTTCTCTGAAAACAAACTAAACCAAAAAATTATGGTGGAGTGGCTTAAGTTGTAGACTCTAATAAGCAGGAAAACTTGAGTTCAAACACCAATAGAACCAAAAGTATTGTTTGAAATTCATTGTTTATCATTTACTACTATGCATATAATATCCTCAAAACAATTCATGTTTTCAATGCCTTCTATTGCTTGTAAATTCTTTTTTTTTATTTTGGCGCTAGTCCATGGTCTTGAACTCCTGCTCATTCTGGCTTGGATTTTTCACTCAATGTTGGTATATTTGCCCTTGAGTCACACCTCCAGTTCTGGCTTTTAATAGGAGATAAGAGTTACAAGGATTTAATCCAAAGATGCTTGAAAAATACTAAAGTGCTCTCTTCCCATGGCTGTCACGATAAATCTCTTTTATTCTGCCCTTCACTATGTCTGTACTTGGCATTTGGGAGTGAGTAGCCAGACCTAATATAGCAAGGACTCTGCACTTTGAGAGGGAGGGTGGTTAAAATCTGGTTTCAAAATGATCTGTGTCCAGCAAGGAGCTGTGCCTTTCATTCTGTTAGACTGAGAAACAGGGAGACACAAGCTTAGTCCATAGTTTACTTAATTTGCATCCACTGATTTGATATTTCAATTGATATATCAATGTTGAACTGTAAGTTATCTTAACTGTATTTGCACAGAAACTTTCCTGTGTAAGTCATTACAGTTTTTATTCTCTGTGTCTTACAGTTCTTTTTGACAGTACTAGAGTTTGAACTAACGGCCTTAGGCCTGGTAGGCTAGCACTCTTATCCATTGAGCCACACTCCCAATTGTTTTTGCCATAATTTATTGTTCAGATATTATCTGGCATATATGAAAAATGCCTGAGCTGGCCATAGACTGAGATCTTTCTACTTCTACCTCCTATATATCCAAAATTATAAGTATGCATCACTATGCCTGGACTTCTCATATTCTTCTTATGTGTTTTTGACATGCCATGGCAGTGGCCATGGCATGTGCACTTGACATGTGCAACTTTAGAAGCATAGACTTACAAATGTTTCACCCAAAGTTATTTGTAGTGAAATTGTTCTTTAATATAACATTAGACGAAATCCAAAGAAAATTTGGGGAATTAAGATGAAAAATCTTATCAACCAGTTCCTATAATCCTAAGAAACAGAGACACTAAAACTAAGTAACGACATAAGCACTTACCTGATATGAACAAAAGAATCACAGTGATCTCAGGCTCTCTGCTACTTAGCAGGCTGAAACCATGTCTATGTGAAACGTACCTTGGGTTTTTCCTGCTCCTTCAAGTTGTGCTCATTGGATGGCTATACATGTCTAGTTGGACTGTGTAAGCAACCCTTTGATTTAGCTTAAGTTCTCTGGCTCTTGATGACCTCCTTGTCCATCTTCTAGTTTCCCAATAGAAATTAATCTCTCCTTTTCCATCTACAGCATGTGTCTCAAGAAAGCAGTTCCATTTGTACCATTTCTATTGCATGTATGTCTTTATAGACTCAGAGTGAAGTGCCCATCCACAGCCACAGCCCAGCTGTTACACTGTGAGACTAAGGTCAAATGATATGCCTCAGGGGCCCTGCCCTCCTATGCTTAATGGAGTGTGGCATCAGTTAAGTTCCTTAACTGTCTGTTTCAGTGTCCTTGTTTGTGTAACTGTTACAGTATTGTTAACTGCTTTGCAGTATCTTTCTCTGGTATTTTGCCTGCTTCCGTCCATGGCCCAATTGCTTCCTTAGCTAATTTCACTCACAGGATCATATATCTCATAAATCTAAACATTTTCTTCAATGGCAACAAATCCCTGAATCCTTTAATCATACTACATCTCCACCCGGTCATTCTATTTACTCTTATATCCTCTGTTAGAACTTAGCCTGTAAAAGAGAGAATGTCCCATGATTTGTCATTATTATTTGCTCTTAATTCACCTTTTTGGTTACCTTTCTCCCAATACTTAACTCATGATATTCAACACTGGAAAATTTTTAACACTCACCTAGAAACTCTTTCAGAATGATTTTTCCTCCAGTTATTCCTTCAGAATGGTGAGATATATATCCAAGTAAAAGTTATAATTAGTAAGACAATGTTTTACAAAACGGAAGAGTTTACCTATGCATTGGTAAAGATTAATTTATAAGTCCTAAGAAGAAACATGAATGGCATAAAAGAGAATAAGAGCACAATATGACAGTAATAATCACTAGACAATATGTTGGAAATGAACTTTACACTTTCAGGGGGTGGGGATAGGAGGAGGGACAGAATGGAAGAAAATGAGGGAGGGGGTAAGTAAAACTGTTCAAAAGGAAATGTACTCATGAACATACTTGTGTAACTGTAACCCCTCTGCATATCATCCACTTGTACAATAAAAATTTTAAAAAATAAAACAGAAAATTAGAACAGAACAAACGTAAGGGATGCCCAAGAATCTAATCATTAATAATACATCCTATATACAATATTTTACATCATATACAATGATATAGTGTATATTTAATTATCACATACTATATCTTACACATAAAGTATATGTACAAACATATGACACATAAATTGTGTACATGTGTTCACTTGGAACCCTGAGAATTATAGAGATTCTGACTAAAAAAAGATCTGCTTTATCTTGAGGTTTCTCCATCATTCTTTTTGTAAATGAATGACTTTAGTGTTTTTACTATAAGTGTCAAAGATTCCTAGATTTTTTAGATTGAAACAGAGATTTATTGATGTAGGAATACTTCTGTGAATCTTGGTGGGAGCAGTTGAGGAGGACAGAGGGCATAAACACAGGAAACTCATCACCTTCACCTCACCTTGAAGTGTTCAGATGACAGGACAGGATGGCTGGACCTCTAGTGGGATTGCTGTCCTTTGAATTCAGTGCTCTCCTGGCAATGACAGCTTGACTAATAAGTGAATCTGGAATTTAGGAAAAGAAATAGAGTAAATTTATCCTTCCTTTGTCCCTCCTTTTCTCTACCTATATCCACCTCCATCCATCTCTCTCCCTACATCCTAGCTTTTCTTCTCTCTATCTCTCTCATTTTCCTTCTCTTACTTCTCAGGTAATCTATCAGGTTGAAAATATCCCACAATAGAAGTCTATTTTAAAATTAAATAATGATATCAATAGTTCATTATTCTAATTGGTCTAAAGAAAAAACTCTATATTGTCTCTATACTAGTTGAAAAAATGCTTTTAAAGGTTTCAGCAGCTACTCATGATATATCATCAGGCCAGAAATAATGAAAAATAACTATTTGTTAAGCATGATCAGCAAAACTCTACAACAAAAACTGTACTCATTAATATGCTATTTAACATTTTACCACTCAACTTCTATTAAAGACAAAAATGTCACAAGCAGTTTCTGTATCCAGATTTATATTGAAATCCTCCAAATTATATTAGAAAAATTATCATCAAAACCAAAACCAAAATCAAACGGAAAAAATACAAAAGGCATAAAGCAGATAAATGAAGTGACAAAAATGTCTTTATTTGCTGAGAAACTTTATGTATAAAGTTTTTCAAAATCTTAAAATAAAATATATTAAATAATAACATAATAGTGCCTTTGCCAATATTTTGAATAGCTGTTCATAATTAAAAGACAAATAAATATGAGGTATTTCCATATTTATAGTTTGGACTTACTTTAGTATTTCAATTTCCAGCCCAGCACCAATAGCTGAAGCCGACAATCACATTTACTCAAAAATTTCAGACCTTGAGAACTGCTGTTCCAGGTAAGCATGGGCAGAATTCCTATGTTCCTAGGACAGATCCTGCAAGTGGAAACATGAGGAAAGTAGCTGGGGCAGCCCAGGCTCACACTTCTGCTTCTTGGAGGTTTATGTTATGGCTTGTATCACTGTGGGTGGGTTATCATAATCCTGTTGACAGTAATAAGTGGCAATGTCTTCAGGCTGCAGGCTGCTGATGGCAAGAGTGAACTCTGTCCCAAGTCCACTGCCACTAAATCTAGAGGGAATTCCAGATTGTAACCTGTTTGCACCATAGATCAGGAGTTTATGTGCTTTCCCTGGTTTCTGTTGGTACCAGCTTAACTCATTGCTAATATACTGACTGGCCTGACATTTGATGGTGACTGTGTCTCCAGGAGATGCAGACAGAGTGGATGGAGACTGGGTCATCTGGATGTCACATCTGGTACCTGGCATTGGAAAAGTAATAAATACATACATGGAATCAATAAATCAATAAATAATACATAGAACCAAGCATGCTATAAGAAAGCTTCATTAATAGCCAAGTATCAGTGACTACAACACAAGGAGGAAATCCTCATCATTGTCTTTCCTTACTTGGAATCCAGAGCAGCAGGAGACCCAGGAGCTGAGTGAGGGCCCTCATGTTCATGCTGTGTGCTGACTGAGACTGATGCCTGCACCTGGGATAAGAAGGTATCCCGGTGGTGACTGTTCTGTGGGCTCATGCAAATCAGTAGGGGTTTGGGTTTGTACAGCTGCAAATTTGAATCTCTTGGTAAATGGGCCTAGACACCATCCTTGCTGTCTGTATCTCCACAGAGAAAGAGATTGCATCTGATATCAAGCCAGTACAGATGCACCTGTAGAAATAACTTGAAGCAAATTTGGATATAGATTTTTAATGTCACATTAGAAACAGTGATATTTCATCATTTGCAAAAAATGCAAGTACAGGGCTAGAATTACGTTTAATGAAGTCAAGCTTAGGGACATAAAGCACACATGATTTCTCTCATATGCAGAAGCTAGTTCAAATGTATTAATGCATATATAAACACATAGAGGGGCATATGCAAGGGTAACAAATATATTAACCAAAGTATGACATTTACATGGGAGAATTCCAATGATGTAACTCCTTAGATAAACTAACACAGTTCAATAAAATGAATACTGGCACCTGAACGATGTGGAGGGGAGGTCAAAGGGTGGAGTAGATGAATGTAGCGAGGAAAGTAGGGAGAATGCAGTCTTAAACTCCAATGCAGATCCTGTGAAACTAAGAAAGTTGAGGGGAGTTATTAAGGAGAATAATAAAAGGAGTGATGGTATGACATCAGTCAAGCTGCATTGTACTTATATACTAAAAGTACTTTGTACTACTACTTAAAGATAATACTACTTAACATAATAAATAAGCTATTAAATTTTCTGACCTTTTGTAAAGAAGAATGCTCACTTTTACAGAAGATATGTAATCCACAATATATCATATGTAAATCAATACATGAAAGAAATGGCTGTTCAGTGTGTTTTATAACATTTGAGCATCCAGAACCACCTTGATTACTGCTCAATGATCCATTACTTCAAATATGGGAAGGGATTCTTATAGAGGAATGGAGGGACTTTTATGTTAACATCATAGATCTGTATCTGTGTTCTTATCTCAAGATTGGCAACAGAAGCCTCTACCTTCCCAACTTCCTCCTTTAATCAGGCTGCATGCTCTGACAGAGCCTCTTTTACACAGATCTTTTCAAAAGGTCTCTAGCTAGCGTTGCTGAAAAGGACAGACCTAATCAATCATGAAAGATTTACTTCCATTTATTTTGAAGAGTCTCTGTGAGTGAAATTGCAATTAAGACATGAAACAGAGACTTACCTTTCAACTCATTTGTGGGTAGAGCAGACCCTGAATATCTCCTTACTAAATATGACTCCACACTTTGGTTCTAGTTCATTGTACACAAGGCACCAGGACTTGCACCCCAAGTGGGTCTGTGGTCACATGCAGGAAATTGCACCATCTTTCATTCTTCCTCAGTGGTTCCCATTCACCTGCTGTTTCTGCACAAAAAAAAAGATGAGATCTGTTAGATGTGGAGATCTGTTAGCTCCCCAGAAGCCCAGGGAAATTAAGCTCCCAGGGCTCTCAGAACTGTTCCTGACATGGGCATGAATGACCTAGTCTAGCACTCCATACAGGCTATACAGGCACTCCTACTTCTCAATGTTCCAAACCCAATAAAAAAAATTCACCCACCACAATATATTATCTTAGAATAGCCATCATTTCAAAATAAATATATACTGTATAAATTAATTTTTAATTTATCCTATAACAACTATGTAGATGAAAAGATCTGAACATTGGATAGAAACATTGGATAAAAATGATTCTTTTAAGTGCAATATCTATCACTGAACAGTACTAGTAATTATTTTAACCACTATATACAATTTTGAGAATGAAACAATAATAATAATTTCTTCAATTATACTTTATTTCTTTGTTTTCATCTTTTGAGTAACTATATAATTGTGTCTCAAACTTACAGTTTAATTAACTAAAGATATGAAATCTAGGGCTAGGAAAGTGGATCAGTGGTAGAGCGCTTACCTTGCATGCATGAGGCCCTGGGTTCAATTCCTCAGCACCACAAAAACAAAAAGAAAAAAGCTGGAAGTGGCGCTGTGGCTGAAGTGGTAGAGTGCTAGCCTTGAGCTGAAGAGTTGAGGGACAGCACCAAGCCCAGAGTTCAGGCCCCATGACCAGACCCCCCCACAAAAAAAAAAGATATGAAATCACACTTAAATTAGAATAAGTGAAGACACATAAAAGCTCTATAAAAATTGTGGATGAAAATTATAGAATTGAAAACCCAGAAATGAACACAGAGACATATAGCCACTTAATCTTTGATAAGGTAGCTGAAAAAATAGAATGGAAGAAAGGCAGACTCTCCAGTGAATGGTGCTGGCAAAATTAGTTAATCACCTGTAGAAAACTAAAGTTAGATCCTTATATATCACCCTGCACCAGAATGAACTCCAAACAGTTCAAAAACCTCGAAGTCAAACCAGATACCCTGAAAACATTACAGAAAGGAATAGGAGAAACCCTAGGTCTCTTTAACACAGGCCAAAATTTCTTCATAGAGACCCCAAAACACAACAAATCAAAGAAAAGTTGGACAAATGGGATTACATGAAGATTCAGAGCTTCTGCATGGCAAAGGACATAGCTAGCAAGATCAATGAAGAAGCCCATGGACTGGAAGAAAATCTTCACTGGCCATACAACAGATAAGAGTCTCATATCGAAAATATACTTGGAACTCAAAAAATTAAATCCCCCAACAACAAATCCTCAAAGAAACAACTTCCCGATAAATAATTGGGCTAAAGCCTTAAAGAGAAACTTCTCTGAAGAGGAAATAAGAATCGGGAATAGACATAAAAGAAATGCACATCAAGGGGCTGGGCAGGTGGCTCAGTGGTAGAGCGCTTGACTTGCATGCATGAGGCCATGGGTTCAATTCCTCAGCACCACATAAGCAAAAAGAAAAAAGCCAGAAGTGGCGCTGTGGCTCAAGTGGGAGAACACTAGCCTTGAGCTGAAGAGCTGAGGGACAGCGCCCAGGCCCAGAGTTCAGGCCCCACAACCGGACCTCACCCCCGCCCCCCCCAAAAAAAAAGAAAAAAAAAGAAAAGAAAAGAAATGGAAATCAAAACAATATTGAGATTCCACCTCACCCCAGTTAGAATGGCTATAAACAAGAACTTTAACAACAACAGATGCTGGAAGGGATGTGGCCAAAAGGGAACCCTACTGCATTGTTGGTGGGAGTGTAAACTTGTCCAACCACTTTGGAAAGCAGTATGGAGGTTCCTCAAAAAACTCCACATAGAGTTCCTCTATGACCCAGCAATCCCACTTTTGGGCATTTACCCAAATGATCACAAACAAGACCACACTAAAGCTACCAGCATGACTATGTTTATTGCAGCATTATTTCCCATAACTAAGATATGGAACCTACCCAGATGCCCCTCAGTAGATGAATTGATCAAGAAAATGTGATATATATACACAATGGAATTCTATGCCTCCATCAGAAAGAATGACATTGCCCCATTTGTAAGGAAATGAAAAGACTTGGAAAAAATTATATTAATGAACTAAGCCAGGTCCAAAGAAACATAGGTCCCATGGTTTCCCTTATTTGCAATAACTAGTACATGTCTGAGACAAGCAGAAAAGGTCAGATAAGATGATGTTAAGGGAAATGAACTCCAAGATAAGGACATAAGTGGTTTTTCATTCTTGCTATTGTTTCTAATGTATTTATAAGATACCATTTGATTTTTTGTTGCTTTGTATGTTCCTCCCCCATAGTATAACCCCTGTTTTTACTGTATTTGATGTTGGTATAATTTGGGGAGTGGAAGGGAAAAAACAAATTGTTTAAATATGGATACAGGTGGACCCATTGCAATATTGAAATGTACATGATGCCATGTGGAAAAATGAACTTTACAATTTGGGGGGGGGGTGTAGTTGTGGAGATGGGAGGGAAGGTATGGAAGGGGAAAAACAAAGGAAGATGCAAAAATGCTTGATAGGAAATGTACTCATTACCTTGCTCATGTGATTGTAACCCCTCTGTACAGTATTTTCACAATAAAAACCTATTTTAAAAAAGACAGAATGAACAAGAACACCTTTTATTCAGTTACAGTAAGTTATTCAGACTCTGTATACACATATTTTTAAATCTTTCTACAGAGTCTGCTCCTGGAAAAGTTATTAACTCTATATTAGTCCCTCCTTGTCCTGCCTGCATTCCATGTGGGCAGCCACAGCCAGGTTTCCACACCTCATAGCAGAACCCAGCAAGAGCTGTGTTCATGTCTCAGTATAACAAACACTCAAGATTAAGGCTTTCCTTAAGCTTCCTCGGTATCTACTAAGAAACTGAATGCTGGTTCAGAGTTTTACAGAGTGATTTACATTCCACTTGTACCATCCAGAGCCTGAAGAACATACATTTCTGTGCTGTTCGCCACTACGTTTATGGGTTACTCAAACAGTTTCTTCTATTATTTTATAGCAGTATTTTATTATGATTAAGTGATTACAAAAATTTCACAAAATTTCACAGATTGTGGGAGGGGGATACTTAGTTACAAGCACAAACACATTCTAACCTTCATGGGGTAAATTGTCTATATCATGTTTTATAAAGTTTGTGAATTCTATGAGCTTTGACAACAAAGTTATTTCTTCCACATGGGGTGATATGCACATTTCTTTCCTTTTTCTTAGTGTCAGCTGTTCCTTCTTTCCTGCTCATTCCCTCCCTCCCATTGCTGCCATTTAGTTGCCTAGTTCGTTTTGATCAATGTCCAATGCAGCTGATGGGTCCCACTGTTGTTTGTTTTCCCCTGTATCCTCTTCCTAGTTTACCTCTGATGTGCACATAAATACAATATATGTGGTATATATTATTTTAAAAAAATATATTATACACACAAAAGATCCCTTTAGACATGTGAATTTCAAAATATTGCTCTTTTTATGAAACTAAAAAATCACGAAGTGTGTCTCTGCTTTGACCTTCTTAAACAAAAAGGAGCAATGACACAGGTGAGTTGCATTGTAGATTCTCTGTGCTGATAGATGGGCATTGCATTCAATTTGTAGATAGCTTTGGACAGTATTTCCATTTTCATGATGTTAATTCTCCAATCTAGGAGAATGGGGTTCTTTTACATTTCCTTAAGTCTGCTTTAATTTCCCTTTTCATGTCTTTAAAGTTTTCATCACAGAGGTCCTTCACTTTTTTAAAGTTAATTACTAGGTATTTTTTAAGGCTATTACAAAAAGAGTTACTTTTCTGATTTCAGCCTCACTCTACTCATTACTTGGCATACAGAAAAGTCATAGATTTTTGTGGATTAATTTTATACCATGATACTTCGCCAAAGTTTCACATAAGCTAAAGTAACTTGGGAGAAGAGCCAATGGGGTTCTTTAAATACAGGATCATGTCATCTGTGAAGAGGGGGAGTTTTACTTCTCCTTTCTCTATTTGGATCCCCTTTATGTTTGTCTTTTGCCTTATTTCTCTGGTTAGGAATTCCAATTAAATATTAAAGGAGTAGAGAAAGCAGACATCCCTATTTAATTTCCCATTTTAGAGGAAATGGTTTTCACTTTTCACCATTAATATAATGCTGGCTGTAAGTTTGTAATTATAGCTTTTATTATATTGAGGAATGTTCCATGGATTCCTAACCTCCTCACAATTTTCATCATAAAGGGGTTTTGGATCTTGTCAAATGTTTTTTCTGCATCTCTTGAGATGATCATATGATTCTTGTCCTTGCTACTTTTTTTTGGGGGGGTCCGGTCATGGGGGGTGTCCGGTCATGGGGCCTGAACTCTGGGCCTGGGCGCTGTCCCTCAGCTCTTCAGCTCAAGGCTAGTGCTCTACCACTTGAGCCACAGTGCCACTTCTGGCTTTTTTTCTTTTTTGCTTATGTGGTGCTGAGGAATCGAACCCAGGGCCTCAGGCATGTAAGGCAAGCGCTCTACCACTGAGCCACCTTCCCAGCCCCTACTACTGTTGATATGTTGAATCACATTAATGGACTTGTAAATATTGAACCAATTTGCATCCCTAGTATTAATCCCATTTGGTCAGTGTGTGATTCTTTGGATTAGTTGTTGAATTTGGTGGGCCAGCATTTTATTGAGTAGTTTTGCATTGATGTTCATCAATGTGGTGGGTCTACAGTTCTCTTTCTTTGATGAATGCCTATCTGGCTTTCGGACAAGGATTATGCTGGCTTCATAGAAAGATGATAGATGCAAATAAATAAAAATTTCATAAAACATACACTATAAAATAAAGTATGTGCAATATAGTGCTATGGTGTACAATATACAGGCTAACTACTAAGTATTTTCTATCAACTCCAGGTGGCTGTCCTCTGTTTCTGAATGCATTTTACCACCACCATTATCAAGGAGAGTTAACATCAGACATTGGCTCTCTACACACTGAAAGGGCCTGGTTACAGACAAAGATTTGTGATCCTTGTACATTTCTGTGCTAGAAATCTTCTACACTCCTAAGTAATATTCATTTATCTATCTTTGTTAATCCAACTTTCCCCTTAGAAGCTGAACCATTCTATAAATCAAGGCTGAAATCAAGTTCAGTTTACTCTGCTTCTTAAACCTACAGCACCCATTTCCTAGAGTTCTTAAATAATGAAGATTTCCATGACTGGACAGGCTCAGAAGTGATGACATGTAGCATGGTGAAGGGTGAAGCAGGACATTGGAGCTGCACAGATAGAGAGGACAAGGGAAAATGACACAGGTGATGAATCCAGAGTGAAATGAGGAAGGCTCCCACATGGAGTCCAGAATGTGGGGAAGCTGTCCACCTAGTGCTGGATGTCACAACTGGGAAGACACGGACAGGACATTTGCCTGACAATGAATCCACCATATTATTGTGATCCAAGTAGGTGCTGCAGTGCACAAAGACAACACTGCTCCCCAAAGGCCAGTAGCTCACAGACAAGGCATTGCCAAATCAGAGTCCAACTGCACCAGGCCCTAAATGACACTGTCCAATACTGACCCTCTTAACCACCACTTCACCCTTTCCCATACTGTTAGAGCCAAAGCACACAGGTATAAAACAAATTCATGCTTTCCTCTCCCCCCTCCACATAATGAGTAGAGCTTTGAAATTAGACCTGTCTTATGGTGAACATGCACTCTTGGTGCAGAAAAGGTCTCCTGATTATCATTGCTCAGATGTGGGTTTGAGAGAACAATTAGTGTTATGGCTCTGAGTTGCAGGAGGAAGAAGAGTGGATATGAGGATTAGAAAAGAATCACTCAACTATTTATGAAATAAGACACATAGGCCGAGATCACTAACATGGGGAAAAGCATAAAGACCCAGTGAAGCTTGAACTCCAGCCCTTATGGTGGTTAAGCAAAGGATATCCTACAAATTGAACCATATCCTTTAAGTTTTTTTTCCAATATTGTCTCATTTTCAGTCTGGGCCAGAATGGAGACAACTATTCTTCTACCGATGCCTCTTGTGTAGATGGAATTGCAGATATATGCCACTATCCTGGATTTTAGGTTGAGATATCACTCTTATCCAGGCTAGCCTTGTAATGTAGTCTTTCCAAATCCAACCTCCTAGCTACTCTACTGTGTGGCTGGGATTAAGATATAAGCTACTATATCTGGCCTATGATCATTTCTTAACAAATCTATCATGCAAGATAGGGAAGATTGCAGTTCCAGGTCCAGTCTAGACAAAAAATTTAATTAAACCTTATTATAGCAATATTATACCTATGATGCAAGCTTTGGCAAGAAGTATAAATTGAATAGGTAAATCAAGATCCAGGTATGCTTAGATAAGGAGTGATACTCTATCTCAAAAATAACCATAATCAAAAATGCTAAAGATAAGACTCAAAAAGTAGTGTGACTGCCTAGCAACTACTATATCCTGAGTTAAAACACCAGAAATGCAAATTAACTAATAAACAACTAATACTTAGCTATTGAGAGATTCATCAGTTTCATTACCTAACTGTATTAATTAGGTCTAGTTTTTTGTTGAGTGTGATGAAGCCAGAGATTTAGGACTAAAAGCCTGGGAACTCCCAGGGCCCACTTCAGGTTTTCCACATGTCAGGTTGGATAATACATAACAATATGCCAAATACAGAGTTGAAAAATAGTGAAGGTCAGAGAAAGGAGATTTATTATAAGCCAGAGTTTCCATGCAAGAGGCAAAGGAAGCACATAGGCACATCTTTTGGGTATAGACATGAGGTTTTGGTTTAAATAGAAAATAATTAGGACAGAGACAAGAACTATGCAGAGTTATGCAATCCTCAGTCACAGGTGTGGCCTAGTGTGTCATCCACTCAGACCTGGTTTGGGGATGGGTTCCAGACAAGTTGCTATCACTGTGATGTCATCACTTTAGGAGAGCAGTCTGGGCAGGATGAACAAGACTTTGTTGCCTAGCAGGTGGTATGTCCTGAGGAGGCTCTGCTGTTCCTTCCCTTGGGGACAGTGCTCCTATTCCCTGTCAATATTAATGTGCTCACATCACTTCTGTCCTTTCTGGGTTCCCAGGTAGCTGCAAGGTGAAGGATTCAGTCCAAAGACAGACAAAACTGGAGGCAAGGAGGCCAATGTTTCTCCTGCTCTTAGTTAACTCCTGAGAAAGGAGTCAGTGCTTTTCAGCTTTTAAACACTTATTATAGTATTACACATCTGTAATTCCAATTGCTCGGGAGAAATAGTCATGGGGATCAGGAGTTTAAGATTAACCAAGGCAAAGATAGATATAGTCATAGATGAGTCATAGATGAGGGAGGGATCCCTCCTGGAAGGCAAGGGCAGCAGCAGGAATGCTTACTGTTCCTTGTCTGCCCCTGGCTCTGAAATGAAACTTCTGTGTAGTCCCCAATTCAAATGCCCCTCTAGGATGGTTCTTGATGATATAACTAATTTCCTAAATAATTTTCTTCTATTTAGGATAGCAATAGGTGAAGAACTTTCCTAACAGAGCTAGGGCTCTACATTCCATGTTTTATTCCCAGGAAGAGCTGAGACACCTTGGATTAGTGACAGGGATTGGGATAGGGAAATTGGTAAGTAATGATCCTTTCCTGAGGCAGAGCTTGTGCTGAGGGAAGAACTGGGGTCTGCTTTGGATGTACTGAGGAGGCTGTGTATTGTCTGAGACAAAATCAAGTACAATATTGAATACTCAATTCTGAAAAGATAAATTGGCATGGAGACATGAACCTGATGCTCTGTCCTCATGCAGTGAGACAAATGTATTCCATGAACAGCACCACAAGTGCCTAGAACTCATCTCTTTGTAATTATACACTCACAATTCATATATTCAGTCACAAATTCATTACAGTTTTCAAATCCCAGCTTGTTTGAAGGACTTAATTTGATATAAACATTTGTAAATTAATTACCAAATTGATTTATAATTTGCAAATAAAACAATACCGAAAACTTTACATTTAAGTTTTCCTTTAGACCTTCAGCAGGCTCACACTAGAAATTCCTGGGATGATGCTTTTTTGCTTCTCTTTGACTCACAGCATGTGTGGTTTTATTTCACACTGTCTGATCTTTGCATAGGCTCCTTGTGTCCAGCATTGCTTCTCAGAGCTCTACTAATTGTGGACTTCTCTACGGGATGAGGCCCTAAAACATTAGATGGGTGAACAGCATTAAGATGCTGTCATAGTTCCAACACATCATGTCCATGATGCTTTGTATCATTGTGTCTGATACTGGAAATATTATTTCAACATATATTGTGAATGAGGTTCACCTAAGACTACTTATCTATTCACAAAAAGGAATAAGGCAATTTTTAAATATATAAATTAATGTGTTGTTGATACAATGCGAGATCACTGTCTATAACTGACTGCATGTACCTTTAAGGATATCATGATTACCCAATGTCCATCCAGGCTCCTGGCTATGTGTGGGGGTAGAGAGGGTTCCCCTCTTTTCTAATTTCAACCAGTCTTTTATGGAGTTTCACAACAGGACAAACTCCAGCACAAGCTCCTAAACTTTTATTTCCTGGACACTCACTTGGGCATGTGGGCTCTCCAACTAAGTCACATGCAGTGATTTGGGGATGGAATTCACTCTGCTGATCAGTAGCCTCCAGTTGACAATGAATCAAATCATCATTGTCAGCAGTACTGTAGAGAAGTACAGTGTGTCCGCCTCCACTGCAAACCTCCTTCCAAGGTCATAGGTAAGTGAGTCTTTGTTGTATCAAATTCCTCCTCACTTTCCCAAATACATAGAATATTGTTATGTCTTGGAGTGTTCTCATGCAAAATTTATATTGAGCAACTCAATCAATCTTCATTATATTCAAAAATCAATTTGTTGAGTGATACATCCTTTATACAATTATTTCCATATAATAAAAGTATAACAAAATAAAATAAAAAGAATGAGAAAATAAAAAATAAAGTATATTAACCTAATTTAAATCTATTGTATAAGAAAGTAATTTACAAAGATTTTATAATGAAATGTGTCTTTTATTAATTTGTTCCAGAATTTTGAACACCTGAATTATTGCCCTTGAGGAAAGATTTATGTCACTGAGATGATCAAGGCTCTATCTGCACCTTCTGGTAAAGGGACTTGATTGTCTTATGCCCTGTTGAATAAACTATCTTTTCACTTACCTGATGACACAAAAGTTCACCATTTTATTCCTGGGCTATATCACCATGTACCTACCACTCTTTCACTTTGGAAGATTCCCCAGGTCAGTGCTCCAGAACATTTTACAAGCATGTCTGCATTATATTCTTGTATACTTTTTTCAGTTAGCTTTTCTCCAGCCTGACTATTCTGCTCAGAGACTCTTTGCTAGATTTACAAGAGTTCTGTTATGTATGTTCTGATCTGTTTTTTTGTATGAACCTTATACATTTTGGCATTACCTCTTTGAATCATTCTGTACGAGATTTCTGTAATTTCTGTCCAACATATAGAAGCACTGATCTGTATGTAGATGTCTTTGTCTGTATCTTTCACCATGGGTCATTAGTGATAATGGGACTTAATCATTCTGATTGGCATGTGCTGGTCCTAGAAGCTCCTGGAAGCTGAAGTGGCAATGGAACCAACACCCTAAGATTTCAGGCTCAGAGACTCTGCTGTGCTGCTCCCCAGACAAACATTGCACTAGCACACCTGGGTCAAATCCGAGGCAGGGGAGGGAGAGTTGTTCAGTGATATATCACTATATGAAGAACATGTGTAGCTTGCATACAGTAATAAATCCCATATCCTCAGCCTCCACACTGCTGATTGTCAGTGTGAAATCTGTCCCTTACTCAGTGCCAATGAGTACCTGGGATCATAGATGCATTGTTGGAAACAAAAGATATCAGGAGTTGTGGAGATTGTCCTGGCTTCTGCAGGAACAAATCCAAATATATATGTCCATTTCTATGCAGGAGACTCTGACTAGACCTGCAGGAGATGGAAGCTGGCTCTCCATGGGGCAGGGAGACTGGGGTCTGGGTCATCACAACATCACCAGTAGATCCTAAAATTATAATAAATTAGAAGTGCAAGGTTGTATGTGAACATTGAGACTTTCCATCACTTTCTCATAATGAATTATAATTTCCATGGCTTTGATTATTTTCTAAAACAATTTATATTTTTTAAATATAGAGATTGCCCAGCGCTGAGCTGAGAGCTGAGGATTGCCTTTCAAAGCTGGCCTATCCAGAAAAGTTCCTGTGAGACTCTTATCTCCAATTAACCACAGTGGACAAAAAATACACAGATTTTTCAAACATAAATGAGCCTGTAGTTCTGACATATATCACCACTACATATCTGTCAGGGTTGTCAGCAAAGCACAGGACTTAATTCCATCTGGAATGTTTTTCACTGTCACATAACTAAACTTCACCTGCCCCCTACTAGTAGACTAGGTCTGAACTTCTTACCCATGAACAGAACACATATGGAAATCAGTGGACCTATAGGCTCACCTCCATCCCCTTTTCCATCCTGATCTTTCTCTGCCTTTATCTGTAATCCAGAGAATTATTAGACCCATAACCTGAGAACCTTGTTTTTAGCAGTGAAATGAGGAATACTCATCAGTGAAGTTAAGGTCAAGCTGAGCCTTTATCGCAGATTCAGGCTGGAAAGTCCTCCCTAGGGAGCACTATGCAAATTAGCAGGTGGGTGCAGCAGTATCAGAGAAGCAAAGGGGTTGGGGGAAAAATGGCAGTACAGATAGAAGCTGCCAGGAAATAAGGGCACATATACAGATATGAAAGGCATACAGATACCTAACAGTACCAGTTTTGAAACTATTATTCTTCTTTATTGGGACATAAGCTTGAAATCTGGACTCAAGCTTTCTGGGGAACACATGTGACAACACTCGCATCTATTTGGATTTAGCACATTTTTGAGATAACTTATCATACTTTGTATAGAGTCTGCTCACAGAACACAATCCTCCTACCTATGTTTTCCACATAATCAGGGTCTCAGGCTTGGATGTGTGAGGTAGGCTAAATTTTTTCCCTGTCTACTGGAATCATAATTCTCTTGATCTCTTTTGACCTAATAGATGGGATTAGAGGTGAGAACCAACATGCACAAAGTTTGAGTGTGTGTTTAAATCCATTTTCCTTCTATATTCATTCATTTTGTAGGAAATGTAAGTTTTTGATCAGTAATGTGACTTGGATTCCCAAGTTTGAACGTGTATCTCTGGTAATTTCAGTATCTTAAATTCTCCAACTTTTTGTAATTATGATGACATAGTGAGATTTGTTTACAAAATAAATGATTATATATGCATATACACACATATATGTGTAAATATGTATATGTACACACATATATGTACATATACATATATGTGTGTGTACATACACACATATATATACACATATATATGTATATACACATGTGTGTATATACATATACACATATATCGTTTCTAACATTTGTATATGTATATATAATTTCTGCCTAACTTTTATACTTAAAAAAAGAATAAATTTACTTTTTGAAAAACTAGAGTAAAGCAATAGAGATGGTGAATTAGATCTAGACCTGATATTAATGTATAGATAGCTTATTTAAATTCCTTTGTACAGCTAATATGTGTTTAAAAAAAAAGAAAGAAAGTTTTTTTAAATTTTTGCCACAAAGAATTGAGAACATAAATGTTAACCTGATTTAATAATTACACAATGATTCCTCATATTAAACATTACATGGAACCCCATTAAAATATATACTCTATGATTTGGGGATATTTACAATTTATCATATTAACTAAATATCATTTCTCTATAAAGAATGAATTTACTTAAAATTATAATTATGTTGTTTCCTTGGATTATATGGTGAGAAATAAAATTTCTCACCATATAATCCAAGGAAACACAGTATAATTATGATTTTCTTGTTGCTTAATAGATGTATGGATAAGAAAATGTGGTATATATATATATACATATATATATATATATATATATATATTATATACAATGGGATTCTATGCTTCCATCAGAAAGAATGATACCACTCCATTTGTTAGGAAATGGAAAGGCTTGGAAAACTCATATTAAGTGAAGTAAGCCAGACCCAAAGATATATAGACCCCATGGTTTTCCTTATTTGCAATAATTAGTATACTTCTAGGATATCTTATCAGATGAGCAGAAAAGCCCAGAAGCTATGTACATAAGACCGTATAAGATGATGCTAAGTGAAATGAACCCCACGTTATAAACGCAAGAGGTGTTTCTTTGTTGTTGTTGCTTTTAATGTACTATGTGATTTTTTTGTTGCCTTTGTAAGTTCTTCCCCCTAAGGTATATCCCCTGTTGTCACTGTATTTGATTTTGTTACACTCCATCTTGTATATACATTTGTCTAATTTGGGGATGGGAAGAGGAATAACAAAATGCTGAAACAAGGATACAAGATGACCCATTGCAATAATGACGGCCACAAGACACTATTTTGGAAATGAACTTTACAACTTCGGAGAGGGGGAGGCATGAGGGAGGTGAGGAAGGAAAGGGATAGTGGGAGAACAACAAAGGAGGAGGTAACAATGCTCAACAGAAATGTACTCCTTGCCTTAACTCATGTAACTGTAACCCCTCTGTACAGCATCTTTACAATAAAATAAAAATAAACATTAAAAGAATCTAAAAAAGCTGAATGATCATTTGGCAGATTTTTGTGATTGGCAGAAATGTCAAAATTGATTATAGAGTTGAAAGTAAACATCTAAGTTATATATTCATTGAAAGAAAGCAACAGATGAAATATTCACAATAACCAGTTATGGCAACAGCCTAGATGTCCTAAAATAGATGAGTTGTTCCAAATGTGGTACCTACACACAATGGAATTTTACACTGCCATTAGACAGAATGATATTATATCATTTGTAGGGAAATGGATGGACCTGAGGAAATCATGTTTGGGGAGTTAAACCATGGTCAGAGAGATAATGCACATGTTACCTCTCACATGCGAATGTTAGATGTAAACTAGGTGATAGGTTGTGCTGATTCTAGGCCTTCACACACAGTGGAAACAAAGGAAGACACTCTTGGGAAGGAAAACAAAGGGGCAATGCTTCTGTGATTCTGGTCATATAAATAATACCAAAACAAACTCCAGGAAATTGAAACGAGCTTTTCTTTCCTTTTTGTTTGCAAAATTTGTCTTGCTTGTTCCTTTTTTTGTTTTTTAGTGTGCAAACAGGATATAAAAACAGAGACTCATAAGGTGGACAAAAGCAGCAGTGGGACTCATTAGATACTATGTTGAAATATACAGCATGAGTATAGACAGGAGAGAAAAATTGGGAGAGAACAAGGAAAGAGTGACATTATCCAAACATAAATGTACTCTTTGCATGAATTGTGAAGCAGCAACTTCTCTGTACATCCTTAAAAAGAAAAAAAAATGTAAGAAAGCAAGTAAGTTCAAGAAAGATTAGACAGGGATCATGTACAAACCAGAAAGAAATACAGGTGTGACTGTCACAACTGGACCTTGTACGGGTAGTAGTTACAGGGGAACACATGAAAGCTGCAATGTCAGAAGTGAAGAGGGCAGACACCGGAACTATTATGATGTTCTTGTCCCACCAATTCATTCAAAGTAACTTTAAATGAGAAAGAAAAATTAAGTCACACAAATGAATGGGAGAACCATTGATACACAGGTAATTTATACAAGAATAATGTTTTGAATTCAGAACTTAACATTTCCTACATGGCTTCAGTGATTTGAACAAAGACTTGGGAACTCACATAAAATTTAATCAGTGGAGTAAGAGGGTTAAATCAAAAAGACATCAATAGTAGTGTATACCAGAAAACAAGAGGGAGTTTTTGACTAGGGCGTTAGCTAGCTGAATCAAATGAAATTGAATGAAGTCATAGATTAGAAAGAGAGAGAGATTTTATTGGTAATTGACCATTATAGTAACATAAACAACAAGAAGAAATCCATGAGACAAATTATGGAAATGCAAGAAGGTCCTATTACTTGTTTTGCCCATGGTGTTGAAATATGGTCACAGGAGTATGGAAGGTTGAAGAAAGATCAAGAATGGTCTTTATTAATATTATTTGGAACATTAATTAGATCCATCTTGGTTATCAACTTATTTCTTGGAGGTGGAAATCAGGTGGACACTAAAAATCAGGAACTTTTTTTTTTTTTACAAGAATTGAACAGAAAAAAAATGGGAAAAGCTGTTCTAATCTTTTCCACATCAGGTTTGTTAAGAACAGTATGGGAGAAGTGAGAGTAGAAGTGACAGAACAGGAAAGAGGAAGTGAACTCACTTGTGCATGAAGCAAACACCACAGTGGGACTAGTTCCCCTGTTGAACATCTTCAGTAGCCGCAGAGACAGTCTCACTGAGAACACTGAGTAGGTTTTTGTAACAGAGTGTATCACTGTGTAAGGAAAATTATCATCATGCTGACAGAAATAATATGCAACGTCCTCAGACTTCACATCATTAATTGTCAGGGTAAAATCTGTTCCATACCCACTGCCACCGAACCGGGATGGGTCTCCAGAAACAACAGTAGAAACACCTTTAATGATGAGCTTAGGGGCTTCTCCTGGCTTTTGTTGGTACCAGTGCATGTCATCATCAATATCTGTGCTGGCTTTGCAGTGGATGGTGGCTTTGTGTCCTGCAGCCACAGACAGGAATGCTGGAGACTGTGTGAGTATTGTTTCTGCTCTGCTGTCTGTTTGTGGAAGAAAATAAGAAAGACAAATCAAGTGCATCAAATTTCAGAGCATGAAGAATATCAACCTCTTATGAAAAGGGATTATTTGATGGAGACTCTGAGACTTCATTCCATGAAGTAGAGGAACTGTTTCTCTTACCAGAGATCCAAAGGAGAAGAAGGCTGAGAATGTGAGCCTGTGACCCCATGGTCTTGTATCTGCAATGTGGGTGCAAGTTAGCTTCTCAATTAGCTCACCAACATAGCATATGTGCCTTCAGAGATCCAATATGTATACAGGAGAATATGCAAATAGAATGGTAATGGTGCGGGATAGGAAAGCAGTGTTGAAATGGCAGGTGTGAACACTTGGAGCATGACCTGAAAAGGGTTTCCTCTTAGGATCACATGCCCTAGGATGGAAGCATAGCCTCCTGGACCATTAATATGTTCATATTCCTTTGGCTTTTAGGCTACCAGAAAACTTTTATACTGCTATTCAGGTTTAAAAAATCAACAACTCATTATTTCTGCTATTTTGCCCAAATAACACCCCAGTAACACTTTCATGGAAATAGTCTTGGTATTGTTCTCTGTCCCCGCATAAGGAGCCTCTCCTATCACTTAGAATGGAAACTATGTCACAAAGTGGCAACTTTCAACTTCACAATTGGTTCACTAATTTTTCAGCTTTGCTTTCAGTTGAAATTAACAACCATCAAATTATAGTCCAATTCTCTCAGACTAGTTTCATAAAACTTTCATTTTATCTACAGTGAAGTAATGACTTCCTAATGTATCCTGGTAAAATTATCTAAAGGAATGTTCTTTACCTAAGAGAAACACCCAATTTAATAACCGATATCCATTACTTATTATGTGTAACTGGAAACCATAGTTGATCATACATTTTGGGGAAAAGGTGACTGACAATTAGATTAATGTGATCACAATCACAATAGAACAACGTGTGTGTGTGTGTGTGTGTGTGTGTGTGTGTGTGTGTGTGTGTGTGTGTGTGTGTGGTTTTGTGTGTCCTGGGGTTTGAAGTCAGGGATTGGGATATATCTCTGAGCTGTTCATGACTAATACTCTTAAGCACTAGAGCTACAGCCCCACTTCTGGCTTTAAAAATTATATTCTTTTTTAGTATGTTTTTATTGTAAAAATACTGTACAGAGGGGTTACAGTTACATGAGTAAGGTAATGATTACATTTCCTATCGAGTATTGTTGCCTCCTCCTTTGTTTTTCCCTTATCTTTCTTTCCTTTCTCACCTCCCCAACTATTCCCCTCCCCCACTGAAGTTGTAAAGTTCATTTTCAACGTAATGTCTTGTACATCTCATTGTTACAGTGGGTCAACCTGTATCCCTATTTAAGCATTAAAAATTACATTCTTACTGTCATCATCACTATTATTATTCCTGTTGTTGGAGATAAGAGTGTTAGGAGGGCTTTCCTGCTAGGCCTGGCTTTGAACTGTAATTCTCCTATCTCAGCCTCTTAGGTCGCTGGGATCACAGGCATGAACCACTGGCACCTGGCCAACAACACTATATTTAATAAAAAAAAATATTTCTAAGATCCTTCTCTAAGAAAAGTGAACAAAAATTCTAAAGAATGCACATATGCACAGACTTACTCATATTAAAAAAATTATAAAGCAAGCTCATAGGTAGTTTGGGAGTAGAAATTCTAAATTAATTGCCATATATAATACATGATACACGTGAACATTCTTGAGGCAAAATTTCTCTAAAACTTCATCTATTAATATCCAGAAAATGCCAGAAAGCAGACATGGCTCACAAAGTAGAGCATTAATGGTGCTCATTATTGTCAGGCAAGCTGAGCAATCACGTATGGCCATGACTCCAAACACAGTACCAGCACAGAAAAAAAAAGAATCTAAATGCCACCAAAAATATCATTAATGTAAAATTTATATATTTAATCCACATCAAAATAAAATATTAAGGATTTCAAAAGACCTAGTAGCTAAGCCTAATGATAAATTATAGAGTAGAATACATGTTTGGAAATCATATATTCAACACAGAACTCCTATGTGTCCTTATGAGAAAGAATATTCAATGAACATTTGATCAAGGCATGATAGTTTATATCTATACATACAATATATAGATATAAATATTGATCTAGTTAGATATCGAGACACATTGGTGGGGAAAGAGGATCTCTTTTTTCCCCGCAAATCTGATCTACATGGAGAGTTCAAGGCTGTACTGGAGTACACAGCAAGACATATCTCAATAACCTAAGTAAACAACAAACCAGGCTCACAAAGAATAAAGAAGCATGTTACCACCACTACCAACAACAAATACAATCATCTTTATATCAAGAGTAAAAGACAAGTACACACAATTTGTAAAAGTAGACATATAAAATATGTACGTATATAAAAGACATTCAATATCCTTAGATGTTAGAGAAATGTACATAAAAGCCACATAAGCTTTAACAGATAGTAAATAAAATTAAAAATATAATAACAACATCAAATATGCTAAGCATGGTGGGGAACTGAATAGTCATACATTGCTGCATAAGATAGAATAATGCTAACATGAACTTGGATAGTGCCTTTTGACTTTAAATTTGTATTGGAAAACATTTCAAAAGATAAAATCTTGGCATCTATTCCAGAAGAAAACATTGGGATTTTATGCAGAAATTTGTAAAGAAATGTTCTTAAAAGTTTTACCAGTAGTAGCTAAAATTAAGAAACTATCCAACAATTCCTTACTAACAAAAAATCAAAGTAAATGTGTTTCTTGACACATGAAATATTACTCAATAAAAAAAACAGGAGCTAAACTGTTGATATTTATGGTCTCGATGAACCTTAGGAAAGCTGAACTGAATAATATAGCAAAACACAAAATAAGGCATATTCCATTCTTTTCCTGATGTGATAGCCAAGCCTGAGGGATTGGGAAGAGGAAACACTGTAGCTCAGGGACAGCACAGGGAGTCTGTGGTGTTGGAAAAGCATTGTTCCTCCAGGATGATGTTGATAATAGGGAAACACATGTATGCATTAGGTACATTCTCAATATACATACATAACTGTGAACTGCACATGTGATAAGCACACATAGAGCCACCCGATGCACACACATCCTGCACATGCACAAGCAACAAGTATGCGAGAATAACTGGTGACCACCATTGCTGTATGGATGATGTCAATGGCAATTGCCTGATTTACATAATTCAACACAGTAATAGAAGATGCAGTGTGGAGAATGGATGTAGAAAACCTCCTACTCATTTTCTTTGTAACTTTCTGTGGGTCTATAAATATTTGAAAATAAACACTAATAACTCATCATTGTTTTCTTACTTGAAAACTCTGAAAAAGTGACTGGCAATTTCTCAAATAGTTGGCAAAAATCCAAAAGAAGTTTTCTATCTCCCTCTAGTGGTGGTATTTTAAGAGAAAATTCTGAATACCTGAATATATATATGTATTCTTTAAGTAGTTTAAGGATTTGCCATACAAGGGAGCAGTTTATAAATACAGTGCTTCTTGATCAATTTTGCCTTTTTAAAATTCTCACTCACCCTTCCCTGTCCAGCCCTCCCATTACTTTTCTTAAATTTTAGTATACATATTGATATTTTTGGCATTTTAGAGATTGAGTTATGTATACAATGCACCATGATCTGTGTCATCCCTTTAACATCGTCATACCCCTTCAACCCACCTTTCCCTTCTTTTTTTCAATTCTGTGGTATACACAATGTATTCTTGCCTATATTAGATTCCCTTCCATCATTCATTCCTCTATCTCTCTTCTTCCCCCTCTGTCTTGCAAGTACCAGTTACCTGGTACTTTTTAAATTACATGTTTCAATATCTGACAATCTACATTTATATGCATAGAAATTCACTAGCCATACAACAGACAAGGGTCTCATATCTAAAATATACCTGGAATTCAAAAAAATTAAATCCCCCAACAACAAATCCCCAAAGAAACAACTGCCCAATAAATAAGTGGGCTAAAGTCTTAAAGAGAAACTTCTCTGAAGAGGAAAGAAGGATGGCCAATAGACACATGAGGAAATGCTCAACCTCCCTAGCCATAAAAAAAATACAAATCAAAAGGACATTGAGATACCACCTCACTCCAGTTAGAATGGCTAAAATCAAGAACTCTAATAACAAGAGATGCTAGAGGGGCTGTAGACAGAAGGGAACCTTACTTCATTGTTGGTGGGAGTGTAAACTTGTTCAACCACTTTGGAGAGCAGTATGGAGGATCCTCAAAAGACTTCACATAGAGCTCCCCTATGACCCAGCAATCCCACTTTTGGGCATTTACCCAAATGTTTACAAACAAGACCACACTAAAGCTACCAGCACGACTATGTTTATTGCAGCATTATTTACTATAGCTAAGATATTGAACCAACCCAGATGCCCCTCAGTAGATGAATGGATTAAGTAAATGTGGTATATATACACAATGGAATTCTATGCCTCCATCAAAAAGAATGACATTGCCCCATTTTTTAGGAAATCGAAAGACTTGGAAAAAATTATATTAAGTGAAGTAAGCCAAGCCCAAAGAAACATAGGTCCCATGGTTTCCCTTATTTGCAATATCTAGTATATGTATGAGTCAAGCAGAAAGGGTCAGATAATGTGATGTTAGGAAAATGAACCCTTAGATATGTATTTTAATGCTTTTTTCTTTCATGAATTTGTTTCTAATGCATTTATAAGATTATTTCTTTGTTGCTTTGTATGTCCCTCCCCCACAGTATAACCCCTACTTTCACTATATTTGATATTGGTATAATTTGTGGAGGACATGGAGAAAAACAAGTCATTTAGGTATACAGGTGGACCTGTTGCAACAATGAGAAGTACAAGTTGTCATGTCTAAAACGAACTTTACAAATTTGGTGCGGGGGGAGGGGGGGGGAGGATTAGGTGGAGGGGCAGGGGGGAGGCTGGGAAGGGATGTGAAGGGTAAACAAAGGAGGAGGCTGCAATGCTTGATAAGAAATGTACTCATTACCTTGCCCATGTAATTGTAACCCCTCTGTACAGTATGTTCACAAAAAATAAAAATTAAAATTAAAAAAATTAAAACCTATATTCAATGTAACAATTTTTGTATCCACTAATATCCTGTCATTCTTCCACACTATATTGCTATAGCAAATTAATCTAATAATTCTTTTAAATTTTCTCTTTGGAGTAATGGAAATG